CCCCCCCCCCCCCCCCACTATTGTAGGTGAGCAAATACTGGAGGCCGCGGAGGGCGGTCAAGAGGAAGATACAGGAGTGGAGCAGAAATACGCACTCGATGACGCAGGTCCAACCCTGGTATCGGAGACTACGTTGTTTGGCCATCAAAAACAGGGCGGCGGGGGAGGCGTAGATACCCCGACCGGTGACTTTCGCATGTTGAGACCTCGAGAACATGTATGTTTGGTCGTGCACCGTTTTTTCCAACTGGAACATTGGGTATATCGACTCCAAATGAGCCAAGTGGTTGTTTTGCGGTTTGGCGTTGTGGTTGGCGCTTTTGTCGTCACATGTGCATTTGCTGCCGAGATATCCACATGATCTGATGCTGGCGTCACACACCCGTCCAGTGACACGAACCCGCAGCCGACGTGTTACCCCCTACATTGGAGGTTGCGGGTGCGTTTCATGGCTCATCTTGCGTGTTTCGCCCGGTGTGTTTTTCTTTCGTCGTGATACGGCGCTGCACCGGAAGGTTTGGTCGGGAGCTAGAGTAGGATACCTCGCCCGCTTCGTCTCAAGCCAAAAGCTAAAAAGATTGTCCTTCGTTAAATATGCACCAATCCCATTTTCCCCCGTCTCTCGGTTTCTCCCTGCGGTCGGTTTTGCCTACATAATTATACGTGACTGGAGAGCTTCGATCCAGGGTCGATCGATATATGGAACACCACGCATGTGTCACGAGAGCGCGAAATTACTATTTTGTGTACACGTGTTCACCGAGAAAAGCGTTGTTGACGAAAAAACGGCTTGCGACGAACGCGACAAACCATCATCATCTCTGGTCCACTCTGACGCCCTTCCAAAATGAAGGACTCCAGAATGTGGCATCAATAACCTGTACCCCCCCCCCCGGCCAAACATCCTTGCTAGACTCTTTGCCGTGGTGGAGAGCGCCATGCATGTTTATGTGTGTTCTTCCCGTCCATTCTGGGGGCCGGTTGCACCTTTCTTCGGCATGCCTCTGACGCAACAGCCGGAGTCACACAACAGAAGGACAAACACCGAAGTTGTTTCTACTCTTGTTTACCGCCTTTTCCCCTGCGGGGCTTGTCTTCCACCTATAGATTCGACCAGGGTTGGAGCACTCCCCCACTTGTGTTTACTCACGACTAGACTATGCGCTTTACCTCTAGATTACGATTTTTCACCCCAGAGAAGAACGGAGAGAGGATCCAAACCTGCCACCTGGAGATCCACAAGGTTTCTGAAGTTGCCAACTAAACCACTGGTGTGACCGGGTTTCGGTGACGATGAAAATGCCGTCGAGTGAAGCATAACGTACGTGCAGCTCCACAAGGAGTGCTGGCAGTCATGTAGACGTTGATACGACGGAGCTTAGGCGGGCGCTTCAAATTGTATGTAAGACACGAAAAATATTCCAACACTCCGAACGAACCGGCGTGTGGTATGCTGTTGATCTTGCGCGCATGTGGATTTTGAAAGGGGTGCAGGAGCGCCGGCCGCCGTCCTCTTCGTCAGCAACCCTGGCAATACTTGGTGGTGAACTTGTTCTTTAGTGCAACCAGCCAATTTGCGCGGGGTGAAGGGGGAGGAAAGGCGCTAAGGAACAACGAAGTGACAAGGATATTCGAATGTTTGACAAGGTAGACATCTTTTTTACTTTTTCCCTTGCAGTAACTCTCCCTTATCCGCGACGCAAGCACCGGAGGCACGAGGTGGGTGGGTGGGAGGGTGTAGGCTCATGATAGCTTGTCTACCTCTGCTTTGCCATTGATCACGTTCCTGCCCCGAACGGAGTTACCACGCCTTCAGCAACATTTCAGCAACTACTGTACTTCAAAAACGGAAGTTCTTGATAAATTATCCCTTGAGATTTTCTTCATGTCGCGAGGTGGGATGGCCCCAACTCGTGCCACCCTGGCTCGCTCCTCGTGAAGCCGGACCGTCGTGAAACACAACCTTGACGGGTAAGTGCTCGACGGGCACCCCTTTCTCACCAAGACATCGCATCACAAGAAAAAGAAGGTAACGCGGGATGAACTCCATTTTTGCAGCTTGCGACACAACACCTGTGTGACTGATGCACCATACGCGTCAGTCTTGACGACATGTGAACATCGCGGTAGGACAGACGGAAACGACACGCACGTAATATCACCCGACAAATTCAGGCCACACACACACGCGTCACAACATTCTACCTTCTTCAGTAACTGCACTTATGATAAAAAGATTTTCCACGGGCAGGTTTAGTACAGTACAATACTGCCAGTATTTTCAGTATTGCAGTACCTTTGGCCATAATATACTGTACTGCACGCTTTAGTACAGCTTTCGATACTGGAATAAAAATACTGCACGCTTTAGTACAGCTTTCGATACTGGAATAAAAATACTGCACTCTCCAGTACAGCTCTCGATACTGGAATATACTGTACTGGCAGCACGGCTCTCGGTACTGTACTG